CTAACGGCTGAAGGTCGAGTGGAAATTTCCCCTAACAAGAAATCGGGCCTGGGGAAACAGAAATTGAAGAGCCGTGGCCGCAAGGCCACGAGAGTTAACTAGCTTCAATCAGGAACCCATGTTTTTTGTCTGGAATGTGAGAGGCCTAAATGGCCGTCAGAAACAAAGTTTTTTGCGTAAATGGATTTTGGAAGGCAAGTTTCGCATAGGAGGCTTGTTAGAGACTCACATTCATGAAACAAATGCTGAAAGAATTCGGCAAGCTATTCCGCAAGGATGGAGGTGCATGTGTAACTACAGTGAGGATAGATCGGGGAGGATATGGATTATCTGTGATCAGAATACCAGTGTAACGGTGTATAGTTCTACTCGGCAAGCTGTCACAATTGGTATTTACTACCCGGACAAGCAGACGGGATTTACAGCAACTGTTGTATACGCCAGCAACTCTGCACTTGAGAGGAAAGCCCTTTGGGAAGAATTGGTCATGTTAGCTAGCTACCAACCTCTAACTGTCTCTCCATGGATTGTTGCAGGGGATTTTAACCAAGTTCTCAAGCATTCGGAGCGTTCAGATTACCCAGGAAATCAGTCACAGGGTCAAGGAATGCTAGAATTTGCAGATTGTGTCTCCTCTGCTGGTCTCTTTGACATCCCATATAGAGGCTTTTATTTTACATGGTGTAATAAGAACGTCTCTCAACCACTTGCAGTAAAACTTGATAGAGCTTTGTGTAATGACAAATGGATGGAGGTGTATGCTGATGCCTTTATTGAATTTGCGGAACCGGGGCTTTCGGATCACGCTTCCTGTCTGCTACACATGCCAACCCTTCGGTGTATGGTAAATAGGCCATTTAAATTCTTTCAACATGTCACTCTACACCCTGATTTCCTGCAGATTATACGAGACAACTGGGACACTACGATTTGGGAGGGCTCGTGGCAGTTTCGAATGTGTAAAACGCTTCAAAGGCTAAAACCAGTGCTGCGAGAGATGAACAAGAAACACTTCAGTGACTTATCACAAAGGGTAAAAGAAGCGGCTGAAATCCTCAAGGAAGCTCAGATTAAGTTGTTCTCTGCTCCCACTACAGTTCTGATCTCCGATGAACAGAGAGCGAGGGAGAAATGGATCACCTTGGTTGCTGCTGAGGAAACCTTCTTCAGACAGAAATCGCGGATTAATTGGCTGGCGAAAGGTGACAGAAACACTGGATACTTCCATAAGGTGGCACAAGCCAGGAAAAGTCTGAATCATATACATTTCATGGAGGATCAGGTGGGGAACAGGTTATCCTCTCCTGACGAAATCAAACAGCATGCGGTTGAATATTTTACAGGCTTGATTGGGCGCAGGGACAACAACATCAGCCCCCCCTCAAACGATCAGATCCGACAATTAGTGACATACAGATGCACGGAGGATGAGACCAGCGATCTTCTAAGAATCCCAAGCCCAGAGGAGATTCAGAAAGTACTATGGGGAATGGGGAACAATAAGGCCCCCGGGCCAGATGGATTCCCGAAGGAATTTTTTGTTTCCACCTGGGCAGTGACTGGTAACGATCTCATTGGAGCTGTACAGGAATTCTTTCGCACAGGGACGTTGTTGGGGCAAACTAACTCGACGATCATTACCCTCGTGCCTAAGAAACCAGGAGCTATAGCGCTAAAGGATTTCCGCCCGATCAGTTGTTGTAACACCCTCTACAAGCTGATTTCGACAATACTTGCCAGAAAGCTAAAAAACGTGCTAAGGTCCATCATCTCTCCGAATCAGGGGGCATTCTTGGAAGGGAGGCTTATGCTTGAAAACGTTATGTTAGCTATCGAGTTGGTTCGAGAATATAATCAGCCAAAGGCATCTAAGAGAGCTATGTTGAAGATTGATTTAAGGAAAGCGTTTGACACAGTTAGTTGGGAGTTTGTGATCAGAATTCTACACGCTTTAAGCCTACCTCCTGTCTTTATCGGTTGGATTAAAGTGTGCATGGAAACTCCAAAATTTTCCATTGCTGTCAACGGTGAGCTAGCGGGCTTCTTTAAGGGAAGGCGTGGTCTCCGGCAAGGTGACCCAATTTCCCCTTACTTGTTCATTCTCTCGATGGAAATACTCTCAAGAATGTTAAACTGTAGTGCAACACAACATAAATTCCGCCTGCACCCCAAATGTCGAACTCCGATGGTCACCCACCTAGCGTTTGCTGATGACTTAATGATATTCACTGCTGGGGATTACGGTTCGTTAATGGAGGTGAAAAATATACTGGAAACATTCAGCAAATATTCTGGCTTAAGTCTGAACATGGAGAAGACAGAATTATTTCTTGGTGGGATGTCTGAGGCTGAAAAGTTGGAATTCTGCAGATCCGTCGGGTTTAATCAAGGTGCTCTACCTGTACGCTATTTAGGAGTCCCACTCAGCTCTATCAGGCTGAGTAAATCAGATTATCAGCCTCTCCTTGATCGCATAAAAGCGAAGTTCAGTTCCTGGACAACAAGATTTTTATCATACGCAGGAAGAATCCAACTAGTGGCCACAGTCATTTACGGATTAGTTAACGCGTGGGGTATGATGTTCTTGTTGCCTAAATTCTTCACGAAACAGGTGGATAGCTTGTGTTCTGGATTTTTATGGGGTGCAAATGCTGATGGATACCGAGCAAGCAGGATATCATGGGATTCATGCTGCCAACCTAAAAGAGAAGGCGGATTGGGTCTCCGTAAGATAACAGACTTTAACCTAGTCTTCCGCCTCAAGCTAATCTGGCTCTTATTATCAAAATCTGGGTCACTATGGGTAGCATGGACAAAGGAGAACATCCTCAAGCGGAAAGGCTTCTGGAACACTGAACCCTCACCGCGGTTTTCTTGGAATTTCCGAAAGCTGTTAAGCATAAAGGATTTGGCGAAGCAAATGCTAAAGTTTCAGATTGGCAATGGTGAGACAACCTTGTTTTGGCATGATCCATGGACAGATCTAGGCACCCTGATTGATTTTGTTGGTGTGAATGGCCCACGCAACCTAAGGCTGCCATCGTCGGCCACTGTAAGTGAAGCTGCAATCGATGGTTCTTGGACATTTCCGGGAGCTCGAAATGATAGAATCCAACAGATGATGGTTCATATATCATCCATCCAACCTCCACTAGCTACCCATCCTCCTGACCAAGCTCTATGGAAGTACAAAATGGATGACTACAGGCCCTACTTCTCTTCCTCAAAGACATGGAATCAGATCAGAATACGTCAGGAATCAGTTCCTTGGCATTCCATTGTTTGGTTCTCAACTACAGTCCCAAGATATGCCATTCTCCTTTGGCAAGCAGTACAACAACGCTTACCGACGAAAGACCGACTCCAACGATGGGGCGTTACCTCGGACACAAATTGCAGGTTGTGTATATCGGCGGTTGAATCTCACCACCATTTATTCTTTGAGTGCAGCTTTACCTCCAGTATTTGGATACACTTTGCGGAGGTTTGCTGGCCTAGTGCTCCACGGAATATGTTGGAGATGATGGAGTGGTTTAACAACCCGACAAATGATTTGTCGAGGGGAAGAAATACAATTGCCAAGCTATTACTTCAGATTTCAGTATATGAAATATGGAAGGAAAGAAATCATAGAATATTCCGAGGCACAAGCCATACTGCACTGCATCTGCGTCGGAAAGTCGATCGTATCATGCGCAACGTCCTCCTCTCTGTCAAGTGTAATCCAACAGCTACTAGCTCCACCTTGCTAGCTGATTGGTACTACCTCACTCGGTACTCGAGACCTCCATAATGGTTGCACTTCTATCCTTCGATAGCTTTTGATAGCTTGTTTCTAATTTTACCTTTTGCTCATGGGTTCCTTTTGTATACAGTCATTGACTGGATGTAAATTTTCGATTAGAGTAATACAAATCAACTTCATCAAAAAAAAAAAGTTGGTGGAAAAATAGACGATAAACAATTGGAGAAATGGGGTGAGAATGCTAAGTGCCACGTGGACCTAGCGGAAACGCCCAAAAAATGCACGATAATAAGCCGTTTGGGGCCGGGAAGGCCCACACATAAATGACGGGCTAAGTAAATCCCAAAATCTTAAAATAAAAAATAGTAAAATTAAAATTGCAAGGAATCGAACCCGGGTCTGTACCATGGCAGAGTACTATTCTACCACTAGACCACTGGTCCTCTTATCTAAAACCGAATTATATTTCATTTATATTCATTTTGGTAAATGATATTTATTTTTAAAATTTTTTTAATTCAACTATCGAATAATTTATTCCAGCAGTGTCAAGTACAAGAATCCAATTTTCAATTATTAGACCTACATATAAAAAAGGTTGGCATTTTGCTCCACCTGAAAAATATATTTTTTTATAGCTACAAAAAGATATTTTTATGAATACAGGGAAAAAAAAAATCAGACTTGAAAGAGCATGATTCCATTGGCTGCATGAACCGTGTGATTGGGACCCAACATTCAATTGAAGTTTTCACACCAAATATATTAAAAAAAAGTTTAGTTGCATTGCCAACTTGTGGCGTCCGTGGCTGCTTTTCTTTGACCATTTGATAACGAAATTAGCCCAAAATGTTTTACTAAAATGATCTTATAATATTATGCTTTTCGGTTTGTTCTAACAGGATCGATGTAAATCAATATAAAGGTATCACTCAGATAATACAATAATAAAAAATGGATGACTCATATTTATTAGTTAAATATATTGGCCAAAATAAACAATACCATTTTGATAATAATCATTGTCTATTTCACTAATTAAAAAGTTTCTGAAGATGGAAATAATTTTTTTTTTAAAAAAACATCCTTAGATTAACGTCCCAATGATAATTATTTTTCATAAGTTAGATAATAAACCAATTATAAATATACTATTAAAAAAATATCTCTAATTTCAAAAAGTCAAAGTCAAAAAATCACACACAAAAGAATAATAATAAAAAAATCCATTCACCTAATCTTAAGGAAAAAAAAGGGAAGGAAGTTTGTGTTTGTCTCGCAGATGTTCATTAGGACAAAGATGAAAGAGAAGCTCTAATGGAAGACAAGAAAGCCAGCATAATCGGGATCGTCTCAATCTTAGTCCTTCTCATCGTCATCATCCTCGCCAGAATCTGTCTGAAACTCTCGAAACCTTTCTTCCTCATCGTTGGCGTGGACGTGTCGTTGATCCTCGCGGTGATCTGTTTTCTTCTGATCCGAAATCGGTACAATAAACAGAGGAAGATCTTGGAGTCGAGATTCGTGTCCGAAGGGAGAGAGCTTCGAATAGAGTACAGTTTCTTGAGAAAAGTCGCCGGAGTTCCCACCAAATTCAAGCTCGAAGATCTCGAAGAAGCCACTGATGGGTTCCGGATTCGGATCGGGAAAGGCGGGTCGGGATCGGTGTTCAAAGGCGTTCTAAGAGATGGAATTCAAGTTGCTGTGAAGAGAATCGAAGGAGAAGCCGAGAAGGGTGAAAGAGAATTCAGATCCGAGGTCGCCGCCGTAGCTTCCGTGCAGCACAAGAATCTCGTCCGGCTTCTCGGGTATTGCTCTGATTCTCTTCCTGAACATCCGAGGTTCCTCATTTACGAGTATATCCCGAATTCTTCACTCGATATCTGGATTTTCCCGGGGAAAAACACGCAGCTCCCTTGTCCGGTAGATGGTGGATGGTTGTCTTGGGACCAAAGGCGTCAAGTTGCTATAGATGTAGCAAAGGCTCTTGCTTATCTTCACCATGATTGTCGGTCCAAGATATTGCATCTCGACGTCAAACCCGAAAACATTCTCCTCGATGAGAAATACCGTGCAGTTGTTACAAAAGACGAGAGCAAGGTCATTACAAACATTCGAGGCACCCGAGGGTACTTAGCCCCCGAGTGGCTCCTGCAGCAAGGAATCTCGGAGAAATCAGACGTTTATAGCTTCGGGATCGTGTTACTCGAGATGATCGGAGGGCGGAGAAGCATTAGCAGGATAGAGATTGCGGATGAGAAAGAGGAGAAGAAGAAGAAGTTAGTGTATTTCCCAAGAATAGTGAAGGAGAAGATGAGAGAAGGGAAGATCATGGAGATCGTAGATCAACGGCTGAGAGAAGCCGGGGAAGTGAACGAACGGCAGGCGACGAAGCTGGTGAATATTGCCACTTGGTGTATACACGAGAATCCCAAACGCAGGCCGAGCATGGGAAATGTGGTTGAGATGCTTGAAGATAGGGTTCCGGTGCCAAATCCGCCGGATTTCGATATGGTTGTAGTCGATTTTTTGGCCGACGATGAAACCGCGACGACGATCCGAAGGGTAAAGAATATTCCTCCGTTGGAAATTCGGAGGGTGAGATCACATTTCCGTCTACCATCCATTTGCTCTTACTCTATATCTCCCATCTCGGCTCGTTAGCCCTTGTGAAGGACAAACTCCATTATATATATATATATATGTTTCATTCACAAGCTTCAAGGACAGATCTAAAGATTCGAGCCACAGTTGGATATACGGATATTTTCTATTTTCAGTTATAATATATATATGTGTATATATATAGTATTCATGTTCTGATTAATGTAATTCTTGTATAAAGATCGTTCTATATATTAAGCAATAACAATACCATGAAGACGAACACATTTCAAATTGTATTCCGAATCATCGAGGTCTTTAAACACCGGAAAAATGTTGTGGTAGATACATGTTTATTTGTATTTGGTTATCTTCAGACAAATATTTTGGAATCATGTATATACATGTTTATTTATCTTTTTCTCTTACAAGATTGATATGTTAATTCAATTAGCATTTGATGAAAGCTTACAAGACGAACACATAAAGAGTTTTATTCAATAAAAATCCATTTTGGACTAATCTTTTTTTCACAAGTATAATTTATGTAATGTCTTGTGGAAATGAAATGAGTTAAGTGAGTGAATTCAACCCAACCCAATAAGAATTATATTTGGGTTGTTTAATTGGGTTATGTTTATTTACCCAATTAACCCATTTTATCAATTTTTAATATTATTTGTATTCTATTAGCTCATAATTTTCCAAAAATTATAACCAAAATCGATATCAATCGTCAGCGGATCAAGCCATGAGAAAGGTCACAGAATAAAGGACGATCTTCACTACAAAAATATCCGAAATTCCAACCGCCAAATTCGTTGGAAAATACCAAAAATCCGTTGGAAAAACGTCGTTGGAAAATCGATTCCGTTGGAAATCCGTGGCAATTTCCAAACGGAATTCCAATGTAACAATCCGCGGATTTCCAACGGATTTTTCCGTGGTATAATTCCAACGGAATTCCAACGGCTATTCATGGCAAAATTTCTAACGGATTTCCAACGACATTAGCCATAGATATCCATTGGAAATACCGTTGGAATCATCGTCGGAATGTTACAACGGTATTTACAACGACTATACGTTGGAAAATTATAACGGATATACATTGGAATAGTGCGTTGGACATTTGCAACGCTGTTTGTGCCTGACATCCGTTGGAATTTATAGGTGGTTCCAACAGATACCCGTTGGAATGTTCATTGAGAAAGGAAAAAAAATTAATAAAAAAATAAAATACATATTTAAAAATAAAATAATAATTTATTTTATTTTAAAATATTTATTATATATTTTTTATTAATATTATATATATATTTATATATTATATATATTAATTAATAAAATTATATATTTAAAAATATATATATAATATATAATAAACAAAATTAAAATTAAAATATTAAAATAAAAAAATTGTTCAAATATTACAGAAAATTAAAATTAATTGGCACTACGGGTTTTTTTGTCTTCACTGGTCCCGAGATTACATGTCGTCGTTTCTGCTCCCGAACTCGGCGACGTATTGTGGAGTGGGCGATCACCTTGTATACGCTCAACAATTTGTTCGAGGTTACTCACTTGTTGCATCGTCGCCGCAAGTTGTTGTTCGAGTGTCTCGATCTGCCGTTGTTGTTTGAGATCATTCTGCATGCCGAGAAGAATTGCAGCACCGAAATCATCAAACAAATATCTTTGCAATTCTCCCAATCCATAGATGCGCCCCTTATTTGGAGAGAGCGACTGAAAAATGTATAAAATATTTAAAATAAATTTAAAATACTAAAATTTAATATTTATAAAAGAAATTATTAAAATTTTTACCTCCACATATAGCAACGATCTTGATCTGTTGCAGAGAGACCGGATGAAGAACCCGCTGAGTCGCCCAATATTTTGCGAGAGTTGGATAAGTCTCTGAGTCACCGTGCTTATAATGCGTTCAGCACGGGGATCGACATATGATCCATCAGACTTTTTGTGTGTCCGAACGACCAACTCTACAATTGACGGCATTCTCTCCATTTCTGTCTCCTAATATATATATATTATAATAAAATTATTAACGCAATAAAAATTCAAATTAAAAAAATAAATTAAAAATTAAGTTTTAAATAATATCATATCTTTTTGTCGCTTCTTGAATGATTTAGCACCGGAGGTAGGGATGTCAATTAAGTCCAGAGCCCGAAATCCGCCCCGAACCCGCCCGAAAATAATAAAGATATGGGCCTAAAAAATATAGGCTCATTAAATTTTGGGCTTTCGGGCCTCGGGCTAAATGGGCTGCGGACCAGTCGGGTCTCGGGCCGGGCTTGAAGCCCATTTATTTTTTTCTAACCCTTTTTTCTAAGCCAAAGTTTTACCTCTCTATGATTATCTTAACTTCTTTTTAACCATATTACATCATTTGATAATCATTTTTTGTATTTTTTTTTACTAAATCAAACCTAACACTTGCTATTTGATTAAATTTTTTTGTTTTATATTTTTTTTACTCTATATTGGTTTTGTTTCGTACTACTAGTTTGGATTTTGTTCTTCGATGCACATAAACAAACACATGTTCTATATTTATATATGTGTATATTTTAACCAAATGACGAAACTTTATCTTGGATCCAATTAACACTTTTTAAAGTGATGAAAACTTTTATTTTTTTAATCATATTACATCATATATATATATATATCAATTTATATTTTTGAAAACGTAGAAACTTTTAAATATATATATTTTAAACCTTTATTTACATATGAATATATTGATTTTTTTTCTATATGTTTCAAATTAATTACATCATATAATTGTCTTTTTTATACTATGTTTGCTTTTTTTAATATTTTACATTATTATTATTATCGTAGAAAAAAATATTTTTATTTGATAAAAAAACTCGAAGCTCGGCACGAACCCGCCCGAAGCCCTATAGGGCCGGGCTCCGGGCCATCGATCCTAGACCCGAAAAATAAATGGGCGGACTGGCCCGACCCAAAAAATTCTAGACCCGAATTGAACCCGGCCCGAACCCGGCCCGACCCGCCCATTTTACACCCCTAACCGGAGGTATGACGATGAGGACCATCACCCTCGATTTTTTGGGCCAGACGATTTCGCCTTGGAACTCTTATTCTTGAAATGTTCCGAATTCCAATGCATAAGAAGCTGTTGGTAGAAGTCATTTATTGCCCACTCCGGTGGCATTCCATGCAGATGATGACGACGTTTGACATTGTTCATCATTTGTTTCAATTGTTGCATGTCAAGCTGGTTGAACTCTTTGTAAACTTTATCGGTGTACTTTTTTTTTCCACCGAAAAGATTGCTTTATACAAGAAAATTAGAGGTAGTAATAAATTTTTCTATTTAACTGAATTTTTTTTTAAAAAACTTACGATGAATGAGTGCCACCAAGAACGTTTTAGATAGTCCGGTACCACCGTCCAACAGTAGTAGAGTTGAGGAGAATTAGGCGTTATTATTGTCGTAAATTTTTTCCTCAACTTTTTATTGTTAACCCTGAACCTAATAATCACATTTTGTTATTAATATTAGTTAATAATATAATTAAAATAATTATTTAAATAAATTAATTAAAAAAATTATCATAATGCCCCGTCAAGTTGGGGATCAATCAACGGACCTCGCGAGTATCGAAGGAGTTTAAAATCTCATCTACCTCCTCCAGAGTTATTTCAATCTCTGGGAATAGCGGCGGTGCGTCCGGCGGATCCGGAAGACGAGAAGGTGGTGGCGGTACTCCAGAAGAACCCGCCAACAATCCACCAGGAAATCACCTACGAAATTGAAAAAAAAAACAATAGTTAGTAATATTTAAAATAAAACAAAAACAAATATTCAATTTAAAAAATAACAAACATATTACCATTTTTTGTGATTTTTTTATTATTATTTTTTGATGTTTTTTTAAGTGTTTTTTTTTTGCCGACTTTGAGTGAGGATGAAGAGTGGGGGCGCTCGGATTATATAATCGACATTTCCAACGGATTTCCAATGGGCATCCGTTGGGAATTCTGTGCGCGCATTTAATTTCCTCTGACATTTTCCAATGGATGCCCGTTAAAATACGGATTTCCAATGGGTATCCGTTGGAAACTGCCTGGATTGTCGCGATAGACGCTAGGTGCATCAAACGGATTTAATGTTTCAGTAATTCCAACGGATGCCCGTTGAAAATCCGTATTCTAACGGACATCTGTTGGAAAATGCATGGATCACCAGGTGCGTGGAACGGATTTAATGTTTCACCAATTACAACGGGCGTCCGTTGGAAAGTTTCAACGGGCATCCGTTGGAATACTGGTGACCATTCGATTTCCACGATTAAATTCCATCGGATGTCCATTGGAATTTAAATTTTTTTTTAAAAAAATAAAATGCTTCAAAATACAAAGAAAATTCTTCAAAATACAAATAAATATGAAAACAATAAAAAGAAACAAGTCTACATAGAATCTTCATCACTTTCATCATTCGGAGTTGTATCATGGTCCGAAACGAATTCGTCAATATCGTCTTGTACGTTTGACGAATCATCAAGTAACTCGTCGTCTATGTCAGGAAGTGCAAGTGTATCGTCGTAATCATCTAGTTGGATAGGAAGAACCGGATTTTCGAGTTGCTCTTGCATTGGCTCATCGAGATCCTGTGTTTTCGACGAATCCACGATTAGCCTTCGTGGGTTAATCTTCAAAACAACCGACCATTTATCTTTCCATCGTTGTTTCACCGATTTCGCAGAATGTTTCGGATATAGAATGAAGCATACTTGGTCTGCCTGATCCGAAAGTATAAAAGGATCATACTTTGCATATGAATGTTTCGGATTTATATCAACACCTCCCCATCGATTTTTCCGTGAGTCGCGTCCCGACGTTGTATCAAACCAATCACATCTGGATAGATTGTTTTTAATCCGACTAATCCTGGATACTGGAGTTGGAAAATCTGTCGAAGAACTCCAAAGAAATCAGGATCTTCAGATGACCCACTTTTTATACAAACTCCGTAGTTGAACGTGGATTTATGTTTTCCATGATCGTAAGTGTGAAACATGTATCCTCGGGTGAACATTATCGACCATCAAATGATTTTTCTCCCAGGTCCATGTGATAAATCTCTTATCCATGCCGGAATTCTATCAGTGCATGACTGGATCTGCGCATAAAATCGATATGGATATATATTAAATTAATTACTTCATCAGGATATTAATTATATGATGAACAATAAAAACACATACATATATATATAGTACTTACATAGTCTCGAAACCAAGATGCATAATGTTGTTCCTTCATTCCTTCAAATTCCTCTCCA